AAAATGTGCTCAACAACCGATGAGTAAAAGCAAATAGGACACCAAGCAAGTAAATTAATTAAATGTTATAGGCACGGAGGCGATCTCATCAGCGAACAAGACCAGGCAATGAGACTGGCCTGTGAATGAAGTTCCATTATACAAACTGTATCCACACAATTTCGTTTAATACGCTGAATGACTGGAAGTTGAATTTTTCCACAATCCTCGGAATAGGTCTCATATTTGCATCAAATTTCGCATAGCTCTGCCTTCCAAAAAGTATCCCCATCAAAAGTGAACTGGACTGCGGTTTTGACCTCGTCTCATCACTACCCCCAGTGGGACTCGAACTAGGTTGTTGTAGGGTAGCTTAGAGTCTCGATAGATGAACAACTACGCCAGGTTGCCATAGATGCTCTTTGGTCACAGGTCAGGCCTTTGTCATTACAATCAATTGCATTACTTATTCAAGGCTTGTGTAACTAAGTTCTCGAGACTATATGCTGGGCCACCACTGCCCGGGTTCGAGTCCCATTGGAGGTGCTGATGAGGCCAGCTCATGCGAGATTGAAAGCGCAGTCTAGATGAGCCAGGATGAGAATACCTTTTGGATAGTAAGGTAATGAAAAACATAATGGAACCATGGGACCTAGTCTGGTGATTGTGAACAATTGCAACTCTAATATATAAGATGTAATAGTAGTCGTGAAAACCCACACTAAAAAACGAAATAAATAATCTCGCGAAACGTACCAAAGCTCTTCACTATTCATAACAGACTAACGAAAACCGCCTCAAGTCTAATGAAACCACAATAGAGATAAATGGATAGAAAGATGGAGAGATAGATAGAAAGTTAGAGCGAGAATGAGCGCGCTCGCGAGAAAGAGAGAAAGAATGGACGTTAAAATAAAGGGAAGATTTTATGGCAAGGGGTCCCTGTCATGTCTGCAGCTCGAGTCAATTGGGTGATCCGAGACTTCTCGATGAAGCAACGGATTCGAAAGGTGTAGGGAAGTCTTTTTAACGTAGTTTTCCTATAAAGGTGGAGTGACGTAATCCCTGAAGCCTTGTCCGTTGGGCAAGGGAGTACCTGGTGACCGGGACATGCAAGATCATGACAAGTTCGAGGGGATTGTGTCTGCATGCAGACAGGCTGAGAGACTTTAGGACTTACCTCGAAGTGACGGGAATCCCCTTTATGGTGGAGTACAGAACGAGTCAGTGTGGCATCGAAGCTGGTCGAGAGTCGTCGGTCACGGAGACGTTTTCGGTCGATTCACTGATCTGGAAAAGTCCGGTTTCAGGTCTGGAGGGCTGTTTAGGGTACAGGCTGACAACCCAGCGATGAAAGCAGGTATGTACACTGACCAGTCAGAATGCAATCTGACAGTCGGACGGCACAGACTGACACAGAACTCGACGAGTCTGACCAATCGTGAGGGGACTACGTAAACCGGCAACCACAGTCTCGTGGTTACGCCTGGGGTCGGATGGCCCTGATGGAGGTGGTGTTGCCAGGCCGATCGGGGTCAGAGGTTAAAAGGGGCCCTCAGGGGAGTGACCCAATCCTGTGCCCCTCGAGGGTTGAGATAACGCAATCGAGCCCTACGAACAAGTGGTGGTGGGCCTGCCTACGAGCCAATAGGGCACCGGGTTGACGGGACACGGTGAAGAAGCGCGTTTTGTGCCGCAGCGTCATGGGAATTGAGCTATCGCCGGAGCTGCAGGTGAACACATGCAGCGTCCGAGTGACGTGGAAATGTACTCGTCCTGACCCACCACCACCACCACCACCACCACCCCTCCTTCCCAAGGCTGAGACCTGCTTTGGCCCACACAGTGCCGGTATGAAAGTGTGGAAAAATGAGTCGAGAGAGCCAGTGTCCACATCAGGCCTTATTGCAGTATCAACTTATCCAGTGTGACAATAGCACAACAGTGAGGGAAACTAAAAAAAGTCAACAACACCAATAACAACAGAGAAAAGGACGAAGTGTCGGATGGAGGAGGGAGAAAAAAGAGGCTCTGCCTCGATCCAAGGGGAGAAAATGTGAGGTAACCAATAACGAAAGAGGAGACGAGGTCTGTCCAGGGCAAGCCTCTGTGGCCGAATCAGTTGAGACGTTCTCTTGGCCGAGACAGTGGCTCGGTGACCCCTAGAGACGAGACCAGAGCAAGGAGCATCTTTGAATTGCTATGCTTTTTTTCTCTCTCCTCACCTAGCCTCCCCCCCCCACCCCCCATACACACAAGAACAACTCTATGCACTCACGGAATGGTCGGCCCGACGTGGAGGGGGCCTGCCCGGGAGGCTGGAGACGGCGAGTCGTCCAATGAACAAAGAAAGGCACGGATAGGTGATATCAATCAAAGATGCGCGAAGAATGCTAACATGAGGCTTGACGACCCTGTGGTCGCGATGGCAAAAGTGCCAAGGCGACAATAGCCTGAATTGGGGCTTTAACAACCAAGACAACAGTTCAAGGCATAAAGGTAATCGCTTTCAATCTATACGATGCATTCACAATATTTTGTTTAAAGTTGAATTTTTCAACTATGAAATAAGTAGGCCACCCGTTCCCATAATCTTTCGCATAGCCTTACTTCCCAAAATGTATTACTTATAAGCAGTCTTGGATGCGAGACTATGGAAATATGAGGCCTACTTATTTGATTGTAGGAAAATTCAATTAGGATTGTTGGGTAGTCTCGAAAGCCTAATTACAAACGAAAAATAAGTAATTTAATCGACTGCTAAAGCGCCATCGACAATTCCACTCCAGAAATGTGATACAGGATAGGTCTGAGCTTGCGTGAAATTCACATCTGTCGTGTGAAGGGAACTTGCAGAGGCATGGCTTAATGGTTAGTGTGTCGAGACTGTACCACAAACCGGGTTTGAGTCCTGCCGGGGATGTTAAAGAGATCCGTTCAGATGAGGTCGAAACTGCAGTCCACTTAGCCTGGATGAGGATACATTTGGCAAGCGAGGCTATGTGAAATTCATAGGAAATCTTGGGTCGCATAAGGTGATGAAAGTGACTGATAGCAGACTACTCCTACTGTACCACGAGAATATCCTATGTTTCCATTGAATTTCACACAAAGTTATGCTTATTCAGGCTGTATGAAATTTACTGGAGACATGCGACCTACTCATAGCATCATGGGAAAATTAAAAGATCACTCCGTCATTTAATGCGACCTAGGGTGAATACAGCTCTTATTCATATTTTTGTTAATTTCTGATTTGTTTATTGTAAGTATCTGAGAATAAGAGCTAGGCGATTTTGATATACAACCAAACTATGCTAGTTTTAGACCCTCATCATCTAACCAACCAATGGCATTGCGCAAACCATGTATATTAATAATATGAGATTGACGTATATAAATCGCTTATATGAGGAGCTAGGTCTGACTGAAAATTACTTTAGTAAACTAGGTAATATAATTTTGCACGAAGATTATTCAGTAAGAGAGAGGTATCCAGAGAAGTGTTCGCTTGTAATCCCTTTTCCCAGGGCAATTATCGTAAAACATGGTATTTTGTCCTGAGGATGTCTTTCCTATAATGAAAAGAAACTGAAAACGGATTAAATAAAGGCATATGATGGTGCGCTGAGGACGCATTCGCCCGAATCTACTGTCACGCCGTCAAGGCAAACAATCCTCCCTCGGCTTACAGTGAGACCAATTTACGAATCCCTTGCAACCAACTCAAGTTTTTAGATGAAAAATCACGTTATATTATGAGCGAAACATAATTTCAAATAATGAATATGGTTAATGAAATGAAAGATACTCCAGCATTAGCCATTTAAGGGATTATTCACAACCTAGTTTTTCTACATACAGAAAATGTTCTAAGCTTTTGTGTACCATATGGTGGGCATCATCAGAGTAGGGCATTATTCTTACTACTAAGTTCGAGGAAATTAATCGAATTATTATAGCTTGTTTGCTCAAATCTGGTTATACAAACGATGCGAATAGAGAAAAAGTGGGTTTCGAAAAATTCCTAGTGATTTATTGTCACATGCCTTTGCCTTTTCAAGTAAATGTTGATATAAAACATGGAAGCTTAGGACTTATTCGTCAGAAACAAAGGAGATTGCCTCGGGGACTGTGTTGACCAAAAGGTCCCAGTAAAACTAACCCAAAACCGGCAAATAGGAATCTGCCAATGTCCGCTGGTAGGATCGATTTTCGCATCTCTTACTCATTCAATTGCCTTCGAAACGGAAGTGTGCCCCAGAATTGTAAATAAAGATACTCTTCCAACCCACATTTTATTCGCAT